TCTTCGAAGGGAAACGGCTTTTATTTGGGACTGTCTCGGTGTTCTGGGATTGCGTTCTAACTGTATATGAAGAAATGACAAGGAAATTGTGCTTTGTAGACTTTTATAACTCCCTTGAGCTTTTATTATGCCTCTGATGCGGTCCAAACTAGTCTTAAAGACTCTTCAAGCACGCTCACTTGGATTCCTTGGTAATAGTAGAGAGCTCTCTTACTAATTGACGAGACAACCTTACAAAAGCTTTGTGATCCCCACTTAACACGCTGGTTCCGGGCACACGTTACTTATGTCTGCGAAGAAAAGTCCTTAAATTGATTACAAACTTATCCACTACCTCAGATGCTACTGGGAGTGCGACAGCTGGTCAACGCGGGGGATAATTCCTTGCGTTTCAGCCTGCGCGCGTCCTCTTTTTATACTATTCTATGTTTTCTATTTATATTTACATGTCCGTGCGTTGTCCGAAAGGTCGGACGAATTAATACTGATTTTTAGTAAAGGTTTGAAGTGGCTCGGTTGTGTGTGGCACAACTGAGCTGACTTCTTTTAAGTTTTCGTAGTGTTTTCTCTATTGTGGCGGCGCGACGCATCAGTATTGATGCGTACGCGGGAATCGCCGTAAACGGTTTTCACGATCGGTTCAGCCAAGACGAACGGTCCGCTTAGTGATTTTTCTCTCTATTATTAGATACTATGCCCGGGCCTTGGACCGCACGGCAAATCGTTCATAGTTTTTCTCTTTTGGCAGGCTTCGGAATATTTCACGAAGCTTAGTTTTCTTGGGTCAATGATGCCATGATTTGTGATGCACATGATGTGTCTTTCCACATGACTTCTTGGATCATGCTTCGTAGCACGTGACCGAATGACTTCTCGCGTCAGGTACACGTCGAGTTTCTACGCTCGCACGTTTATCTTTAGAATTAATATCTTTTAATCCATAATAAAGTGAGACCCTGGTTTGGTGTAAACTCCAACACCCTGTGCAGGGGTGTTTTTTACTCTAGAACACTCGGTAGCGTACTATTTCATGGTAGTGAAGCCTGAGCGATTGTCACAATTTCTTTCTAACTTTCCCCACCATGCCTACCGCATTCCTTGGTTGTCGCGCCGCCGTTCAAGCGTTCGAAGTCGGTTTTGACCTCTTCTCGTGTTCCCGCCTCAACCGCACGACCCGAGTGCACCAGTTGATTTCACGGATTTCTCCGGTGAAACACCCTTGCCACTGTACATAGCGTTGATTGTGCAGGTCTTTCGCTTTCAGTATTGTTTCTCTCATCTCTCTTCATTCCACAGCGCGATGCCTTGAAAAACTGTATGTTACTCACGAAAATATGGAATATAAGCTAAATTTAAATAGGTCGGCGTGAATCCGTGCGCTTTCTGTGGGCTTGAAGAATCGAACGCAACTCTCCTTTGGAAAGCATAATGCACCCATCATCAGCTCAACCTGCCCATATCATTACGAGAGGATGAGCTACAAACCAGCAAAACAGTCTACAGTGAGCACACCATGTACCAATGTACCGATTAACTGCCCACTATGTCCAATCTCAGTGTCTGGACAACCTCACACAATATGGAAGTATAACTGTGTCTGTCACATACTCACCCACCATTCCACCGAGTTAATAGGCAACTCAGGGGAAACAGTGGACCCCATTTTTAATGGGAAACTTCCCGACACTCCAGCACAGCTAATTGTTGACCTGTTTATCTCGAGACAGGAGGAGTGTTGTATGGAGGTGACAGAGAAGGCAACAGCGGATGCGAGAGAGGAATATGGCTTACCGAACAGCGATGACTACAAGATAGCAAAGAAGAAGTTACCGAAGGAAATGGAAAAGCGGCCACTGGCACGGCCGCAAACAGTCACCAGTACAGGTGGGAAGAAGAAAAAGAAGAAGTAATTAGGTTGTTTTATCTACATTCGATAATCTACACCAGGGCGGCCCAATGTTGCCGCCATCACATCAAGCCCTGAGTCGCACAACCCGAGTGCACCAGTTGATTTCACGGATTTCTCCGGTGAAACACCCTTGGTGAGTCTCTGTTCTTTTCTTTTATTCTCTGCTGATTTTCGACTTTTTATTGCCTTAGTTAGCATTGTTTTCAGACATCCTCGCTCGTCCTGGTGGTCCTACGCCACACGAGTCTCGTTTACTGGCGTCCGTTTACAATGCTGCCCAATGCGTTGAAGAACGCAACCGAAGTACTGCCTGGGAGGAATGGCTGCAAGAACCATTGGATGGTCATGCGCTTTATAGCCCCGTAAGTAACTTTCTTCTGTTCTTTCTTTTTATTTTTCTTCTAATGATTTTTATCTTTCTAGGGCGAATGCCTAGACTCCAGCTTTACCACGGGGTACATAGGAGAGGAGGACGCCGAGCGACCGCGGGTCTTCGTCACCTCCGGGGATCATTACTCCCTGAGGTCGAGCTCGTGTCGTTCAGTCCCCTTCTCCTACGGGATCCGATCCGTTGTTTCTACCAAGCCCTGGCCCAGAGTCCCCGCCAGTTTCCTCGCCTGACTCGACGCCGCCTGTCCCTGTTCGAAGGTCGAAGCGTACTCGTGCCATGGTCATGGACGAAGATTCGGATGTGGTCGAGATCATCAATGCTCCATCTACAACGCCCTTGAAGCTGGCTATTGGCCCTGTAAGTTTCTTCATTTTCCTCTGCTTAGACATTTTTACTAACTCTTTTGGTTTCTTAGCCAGGTAAACAACGCAAGATTATTGAGAAACCCTCGTCTGACGACGAGGCCATCCAACATCCCAACTGTTCCCGTTCGAGCTCGTCGGACTCTGTGCCTCTCGCTAGGCCTTTGCGTGCAGACAAGGGCAAGGCTCGCACCAAGACGCCTCCGCCTGTTGCAGGTTCATCTCGAGTTGACAAGGGAAAGGCTCGGGCGAGGACTCCTCCTACTACTTGTAGTTCCGCCAAGCGTACTGCCGTTAAGCCACCGGTGGTCAAGCAGAAGGAAACTTCTGTTCAACCCAAGCGTCGCGGTCGCCCTCGTAAGAAGTGTAAGCTTTTTCTCTTTCTCAATTTTGCTTTTTAACTTTATAATTCGGGTTTTTTCCAGCTCCCGTTATCTTCCAAGAGCCCATCGTGTTCGACAAGAAGCGATTTAGTAAGTCGTTCTTTTACTAGTATTTTGTTTACCCTGCTGACTTTCTTTTTAGAATGTGCCACCGCTAGATTTGGGCTTAAAGAGCTCCCTGCGGTTCTTAAGGGTACACAAATCCACGTATGTCTCCTCCTCTCATTTTTGTCTGAGTTTTCATAGGTACTGATACCTTTTTTATTAGATGCCCGAACCTTGCCTTCAGTGCTCCGCGTGCAAGGATTCCGCTGTCAAGAACTGCACCTTTCGTGGGTGGGGCACTCCCTGCGGTCCTTGCGACGCGGCGCATGTTTCTTCGTGTGAGTACTATCTGAATGATGAACGCCAAGGGGCCGTCAGGGATGTCATCCGTAACTGGTTGGCTATTCATGCGCCTTCAGGTATGATTTTTTTCTTTTTCTATTTCAAACGCCATTGCGGACCTGTGTCTCACCGCCGAGCCTGGAACTCTTCTAGGCACTGTTTTCGAGACTCACGAGGAGTTTGGCTTGTGGTACAGCTTCGTTCAAGACTTTGTAGATACTCAGGGGGTCCCAGTGCCTGCGGGTTCAATGACGGCTGATTTGGAGAGACTCGTCTCGCTTTTTCAGCGAGATGATTCTCCTCCCATTGCTGGGCCTTCATCTCTGACACCTCGTCAATGCCGCGTCTGCTCGCTGTCCCTTATTCCTTCTATCGCCGTTGCTTCGCCTGGTCTTCCACCTTCCGCCCATTCTCAGAAGGAGGAGGAGGAGGTTATCGACGAGCTTGTTGACGAGGAGTAGGTGCGCTTGTTTTTACGGACTCTTTTACTTGGCATGCATTCGGACATCTTAGTTTTTGGACTTTCTATATCAACCTTTTTGTGTCATTATCTTTTGTAGTTAGATTCTGCTGTCCTTATAGTAGAATCTTGACTTTGTCTTTCTTGAACTTTGAGATTTGTTCCTAAGTGAGAGCCTTTTTGCATGCTTTCTAGAGTGTGAACTTGTGAATTTTCGACTTTATTTCGCATTTTTCTATCAAATTCATTCTGCCTTAGGGTTTTATTGTCTCTAGTTCGCATTTTTATGACTCTTTTCCCCTTGGTGGTTTTAGTGAATCATGAAATCGAATTTTTTTTATTTTTTATCTATCAAGGTAGCCTTGATCCCCCCCACTCACTAAATATTGACTGTCCTCAGACTGGTAGCTACCACTTACATCATGTACTCCTGAGCTGTACACTTCAGTCACCCATTTTAGGGTACCCCCGAGGTATATGAATTCTTTGATTTAAGGGTACCTCAAGGGTACCCATTCCAGGGTGGTATGTGAGCACCATACCAATACCATGGTACCATGGAATGGAAAACCCATACCATATCCCACTCATACCAATACCAAGTTACCATACCATACCATGTCATGTTATACCATACCAGATGGTATGATATCACTTCATATACCATCATACCAAAGCTGTCACGGGGTGTCTGGGGTCCTTTTCCAAAATATATAAATTATTTCTGCAGGCTGCAATACTGGTCCATTGGGTGCCATTTTTTGTGGGGGGGTTCTCCAGGTTTATCCTGAGATATTAGGCTACAAATCAAGGCCAGATAGTCCAAGCCATTCATTGAAAATTAGTTCAAATGGGGATTATCCCAGCTTTCCCATGCATCAAAGCTGTTAGATGATACCAATATTTCACAGTCCTATCCATTAGAACAATATTCATCCAAATAAAACAATACTGCATCCATTGTGATGAAGTGGTCACTGAGAAGCAAAGAAAAGTGGAATGGTTCTTCAGGTTTTTGCTAAGATTTCCAACTCCAAGTGGAGGCCAGATAGTCAACTCCAACCTTTGAAAATCAGTTCAATTGAGTTTTCTCCTGGGGTTTTCCATTCCTGAAAAGCCATTAATATGAATGCTTTCAATAATAGGGTAAGTATATTTTGTTCAGTATGGCCAATCAGACAGTCCTGCCCACTTACATAGCATATACATATAGTCTTGCCAACAACACCATCATATAATCTCAATTTTCTTAAAATCTGCAATCATGGAATCAAGTATTGTTGTCCTGAATGTTTGGCCTTTTGTCATAATATTTGGTCCAATTTATTGAAGCTAAGTGAATCTATCCAATCCAAAGTCTTGTTAATTGGAAATGGGATCAAGTATTGTGTCCTGAGAGTCTTTATTATCAAAATATTATACAATGGTATTGCACTCTCATACCATACCATGGTATTGCACTCTCATACCATACCATGGTATTGCACTCCCATACCATACCATGGTATTGCACTCCCACACCATACCATGGTATTGCACTGGTATTACAATCTCATACCATACCATGGTATTGCACTGGTATTACAATCTCATACCGTACCATGGTATTGCACTCCCATACCATACCATACCATGGTATTGCACCCCATACCATACCAAGGTATTGCACTCCCATACCATACCATACCATGGTATTGCACCCCATACCATACCAAGGTATTGCACTCCCATACCATACCATGGTATTGCACTCCCATTCCATACCATACCATGGTATTGCACTGGTATTGCCATCTCATACCATACCAAGGTATTGCCATCTCATACCATACCATTGCAATCTCTAACTTAAACTTTCCTGCCAACTAGTATATCCATTCATAATTGTACCATTCTACAATTCTATGAACTAAATACTAACTGTACTTATAATTTCCTACCAGGCAGCTAATTGATTGATATTGATATTTCCAAACCTTACCAAGCTTCAAATTGTATCATCTCATGAAAATTTCATTCCAACCTTTTCCCACAAAACCTACCTATAATACTTCTGCCTTGACCTCTTTCGAGATGTTCCAACCTCCAAGTTATCTTCTTCATCATCTTCCAGATCCTCCCACAAATCCTCACTCTCCCATCTCCCAAAGGCCAGCCCATTATCTGCTACCCTGAATGCATCTGACACTGCCATGAATTCTGTCTCTTCAATAACATTGTTGTTGTCTGCTTCTTCAACATTATATGTGCAATTCAATTGTTCATCATCACTTCCCTCTTCATCAACATTTTCTTGTGACAAATCCTTCAATGCAGTCTCCAAATCTTTGACATTAGGTCCCCATCCTTTCAACATTGGATATGTGCCAGGAATCAGAGACACCTGTTCCCTCCACTGTGCACACAAACTCAGATGTCTTGACTTTCTGATAACCAACTGATGCTCAATGTCTTCATCCTCTGTAATAAAGAACAGTACTGTTAGATACACTCAAATAGCAATAAAAACAAGCTTACCACACATAAGAATGGCCATATTGATAGCTTCCCACTCTTCCCTTGACCACTCCTGCAGGGCTGTTCGCTCTCGTTTGATTCTGGCCATCTCTTCTGCACATCTCTTGGTTGTCAGCATTCCTTTGATTCCTTCACGAATCTTCTCATTCCCAAGCCAGCCAGGTATAACCTCACTTTCATTCTCATCTAATCCAACATCCTGCCAGATGTCATCATCCACATCTAGAGCAAATAAATGCTCCCGATTGATTGGCACAGGGGCTATAGAATTGCCAGGGGCCTTTCCCTGCTGGATTTGCTTTGTCATATCATAGCACATGTCATTGTACTTGTTTGCCAATCTAGCAATTGTTGGTTGCTGCCTATTGACTTGTTTCTGGACATGTGAATGTAATTTAGTCTCTATTAAAATAGAAGTCAACAAAGAGTGAGTGGTCTGTGTTAGATAAACTCCTTACCATTGGAAGTTGTTTGTCGATATGCTCTCTCTAACCTTTCCAATTCAAATTTCCGATTTCTTAAATGATCTCTGAGTCTTTGTTTAAGAGCCCTGGCATTAAGTTTCAATTGAAGAAACTTATTGCCCATCAAACTTTTCAAATCTTCCTTATCTTTAACCCCCAGCCTTTTCTTCTTTGTCTTTATATTTGCCTCAATCACACCTTGCTTCTTCATGATTGCTTTACGTGCAGCCAAAACATCCTCCACTGACATATCATCCCCATAGACCCCAGAAATTAGCTGGTCATCAAGCCCTCCCAACTCTGTTGCAAAACTTTTCTTTGCAGTATATAAAGCCAAAATTTCCTTAATTGCAACATTTGCAATATTCTTTGATTGTTGTGCCAAGGGCTTGGTCTGTGCCGCCACTTGCTGCTTCCATTCATTTTCAAGCAAAGAAATTTCCAACCCCAGTTCATTGAGAATCAATTCAGCCTCAATTTTTCTTTCCATGCAAGACAACCATTTGCGTTGAAGCCATTTACCCATCATATCAAAAGACTTTTTATCCAGATGCTTGACCTGAGTATCAATGGTAAACAGCCGATGATAAAACTATTTGGCTCAGTTATCAGCTTAATTTCACATATACATGAGATAGACACTTACCCCTGCCACACACATTGAAGGAATTAATAACTTGATAGCACTCCAGAAATGTTCACAACCCTCACCATCAGAGAGGCCAAAACCTTCACATTTACGAGGGTGATAACCAAGTTGGCAGGGCCACTGGTGTCCATATGCATGGAAAACTGCAAGTGCAAAAAGGATTCTTGCCATGAATTCCTCCAGGAACCCCCAAATTTGGCAACTTCTCTCCAACTGGCATCCAATGTCATACAAAATTCCAACTGTCATTGATAAAGGCAAATTCATAAACAGCATTTTTATCAATACCAGAGCATAGTATTGGCATTCTCCAGCAGTAGTCATGTTTACTAGCCAGAGAACATGGTCATGACGACACAGCATGGCCATAAGACCTGTATCTGCAAAGAACTGTGTGCTGGCTTTAGTTCTTCTCTCATCTGCTGCAATAAAGGAGGCCAGGCATCCCTCCAAAGCTGAGACAGGGACCTTCATGCAAGGTTCATATGAGTCTTCAGCAGGTTGTTCATCAGATGATACATTAGCCTTTTCTTTTCCTTTGGACTTCTCTGGTCGAACTGTTTCAACTAAAGCCTTCATCTCCATTACATATTTCTCAGGCACAAATACTGTATCAGGATGCAGATTTTCAGGTCCATTTGCCACTTCAGTCACCCAGTGCCAACTGACTATAGTCATGCAAACTCCACGTAAGTTACATGACTAAATGTCATGGACCATATCTATATTCTAGATATATATGGGTCCTAGAAAGCCCTGAAATCTAAAAAATATTTTTGACACATGGACCCTGAAATGTCACACAAAAATTATAATGTCTGTGTCACACCACCAAAATATATTTTGCAAGTGAAATGCAGCAAGGATATATTTTCAGTGAGTGGACCCTGAAATGTCACTGTCACACCTTAGAAATACATTTTTGCCCTGGCTTGGCCTTAGGATATATTTTGTGAAACAGATGTGGTAAGGATATATTTTTCTGGTCTGTAGGGGTGTCAGGGGTCCTACAGTCGTGGACAAGCAAAGCCCACTAATAAAAATGGAAATGTATTAATGGCTACCAAAGTGCCTGGAAAACGTGCAGATACGTTGAGGGAAGCTTCTGGCCAAATTTCAGCCAAGTCTCACGAGCCGTTTTGGAGAAAATGGCCATATACAGAAATAGACCCTAAAATTTTGGCCGGACACCAAAAAGTGCCAAGAAAAATATGAAAAATAGCGGAATCGCTGCCTTTCACAGAGAACAATCTGCCCATCAAGTTTCGAAACAATTTATGGAGCGGTTCTTCTGGAAAAAATTGCCAAACATTGACCCAAATTTGGCACTTAGTCACTTTTGATGTGACATCTATCACAGGACTAAGAAATTCCATCACACTAGGCTCTACTAGGCTTTCTCAATGCAGGGAAACAACAGGGAAATCCCTTTCTGATAGAATCTTTGCCCTTTCTGAGTAGCTTCCAGCCAAAGCCCAGCACAGGTACCAACTTTCGATAATTTCTGGCCGGTTTCAACCTGTTTTTCTCCTTAAATATTGCAGTTTTTTAGTGGAAATTTTGGCACGCCAATTCCTTGTGGGAAAAACTTCAGAGGTGTGTTTTTCGACGCATTTCGCAAATCCGAGCCAGAATCTGGAAAATTCTCAGCTCTAGATACATTATTTACTGAGATACCAAATTAGTGGGCTTTGCTTGTCCACGACTGTAGTTTCAGCAAAAAACTTGTGATTTTTTCTGCTGTCTGGAGTATATATTCTGGAAGATTCTGCAATGACTTCCAGGGGTTTTGGCACTATGTCTAGCTGTGCTCCCAGTATGTATGTAGCAATAAGGGGCATCAATAGCATCTGTGATATACCTGAGTTGCTTAAGTATCATCCACTTCCAATCACACTATGAATACAGTTCGCATTACAGATTCATTCATTCTCCTTCAACAATTTTGGGCCTCAATGACATGTATGATTCACCTTGAAGCTATTCAGTCCAAGATTCCTGAGTTGCTTAAGTACTATCCACTTTGACACTATAGATACAGTTCGCACTATGGAATTTTTTAGCTGCTTAGAAATCCCCTCCACTTCTGCCTCTACTTCAGCTCCAAGATCTCCATTTGCACCTTATCTGCATACCCCACCCACATCTGTATTACTATCCCCTGCCAGACAAACTCCTGCATGTGATATCAAACATGTTGTCCAATCCACTTTCAAAAACCAGAGTTCACAAAGTTCTTTGTTTCACTCTCCAATTGCACCTTATCTGCATGCC